ACAACACCTAATCCCCACTGTCTCACTGTTAGTGACTGAGCACCAGTGTTTGCTAACATTAGATATAGGTAATGAAATGACAAGCTAACATTGGAAATGAATGGGCGCTATCAGCTAGCTAACATTAGTTAGCTAAACTGTAACTTCCGGCAAAAGTTAGAAACAAGATAACGTGAGCGTTCATCTGTAGATACTTCACACAGTCTCATTGAGAAACTGTGTGGGTAAAACAGTAAAGTGTATTAAACCAACTGGATAGTTTGTTACTGTCACTTACATTTACCATCGCAGTCGCACGGGGGCAGAGACGCAGCGCGAGCCACTGACGCGAGTAAGGAAAGTAAACAAGACTTAACGTCAGAGTTAGGAAATGGTACGGCCCACTTTAGGGGTGTCTGAAATCATATCACAAGATTCTTCCAAGTATAAATATGGGAAATATATTGTAATAGTTATAATTGCAGGTAAGAAAAATATTATAAATATAACCCCCCCTATCTATCTATCTAGACATATCTAATGAAGTTAGCATGCTAACCAGCTAGCCCCGGCCTGTCCTGTCTCTTAACGGCTACGACTTTGTATTTCAAGAGGTGATAGTGAGTCACTGTAGCGTCTAGTTTGCCCTCGGTCCAGCATGAGAGGATGAAGAAGTAGTGCTGCTCAGAGGGCGTATTCTAACCTCTTGTCTTGTAAACACAACAATGGCTGAAGCTCTTGGCAGCCGACAATTATCACCACCACCACCCTCTCCCGACAAGAAACCAGCCGCAGAGAAGTGATGCAACAGAAGCAAAACAAGAGGTTACATTGGCGTTGCTTTCCGCCTCTTTAGACATCATCTTGGAGAGTAAAGGAATGAAGTGTAAATAAACAGCCGTTAATGCTAACGTTGGCTATGTTGCAAAAGCAAAACTCACATATAGCTCCTTGAAAAAAGCCATTTGTCTCCTAATTAAAGATATAAACCTTCATTTTTTGACTTTTGTGGTACCAGAGGCTGATCCTCAAACATGAGGATTCTTTTCAGGGCGACTGGTATTTATGTCAGTAAGCCTGCCTTATGTCCCAATAGGCCGCTGTGGGTCACTCAGCTCGGACAGAGTGCAACCATTGACAGGGACAACGGGAGGAAGGAAAATGAAGGTGCCATATAAACACATGGGAGATGCATTCAATTGAGTCTGATCCTTAAAATGCATTGGTTGACATTTCTCTAACTGACCCAGCCCACACAAGCACATTTCCCTTTAAAATATGTATAATGGTGCAAAAAAAAAAGACTCTTTGCAATGATTTTACTAAACCCATATTACAGTGCTGATATTAGCAAACACAGAACACATGAAAAAAGGCTTTCAAGTATATTTTCATTTTGAATTATTTGATATAATCCCTCCACCTCAAGCTCTAGATTTGTAAATGTAACCCATTTATTGTAATGAGCATTAAATCCCCTTACAGTTATGTGCGCACACTCCATTTATTTTTGATTAAAATATCCTGCATGATTTCTGCAGACTCCTTGTCAAAATGGTAATTAAAAAATACAAATCCTGTCATTGCTTTAATAAAGGAAATTAATTCAGTCCATAGGGTTTTTTTGTGTTGCCACAAGGTCCCATGCACTACCACCACACATTGACATGGACCTCAGCTGTGTTGGGAATGAGCACTCTGTGGCTATACATTATAGAAAGTTCATCCACTTGACCACAAAATATCACACAAAAAGCAGAAGACATTGTTATATTATGTAATATATTCTTTTTGAAATGACCACATCCCTTCACAGCGGACATCTTAAGATTTTAGTGCTGAGGGTCATGGACATTGGTTCTTCCTATAGCACCTGGTATCACAAGAGGTAGCTGAATTACTCAGACTAATCGTTATAAAAATGATAATTCTCTCTCTTTCTCTCTTTTCCACATTACTGCATGCTGCACACAGCTTATAAATAATGTAATAACAAATATTGATTAATGCACCTTGAGAGGAAACACTTTGGATGTGTGGAAAGACCCAAAAGCCCACATGTTTTGAGCCCTGCCTCTGATTGGCTGTTTATGGCCAAAGGCAATGTGTGGTCCCTGCACGGTGCTATACTAATGGGGATTTCATTCTAGGCAATGAATTATGATTCTGTTTAGCTTCATATCTTATTTAATTTGTAAAACTACCAATGGCAAACACACTGAGATTCACTGATATAGCACAAAGTCAAATGGAAAATGTGTCTCTCTGTTGTGTCTTCTGCCGTGCTCAGGCTGCTAATCAGCAACACCATGTCAGAAGGTTGGTACAACTGATATTTCTTATTTCAGATAGCCTATTCATAAAGGGCATTCCCTTAACCTTGCAAGTGTCTTTCTGATGCACCAGCATGGCCGATAAGCAGCATGGACCTGAAACCTGAGTGTGTAAATGACAGCATCTCCCATGTTTACGGCCACATATGTATAAATCATGTTGAGGGAGACATAAATTCTTTATTCACCAGTATATCTTCCACAGCATGCGTTAAAAGTTCTGTAGCATTAAACTGGGAGAAAGGTTGAGTGTAAACCAATGACTCTTTGTCAATTACGATGTCATGCATTAGTCAATTATAGAGTGTGGTATTGGATTATGTGGAATTATGCTGGCTGCAGCCTAATTGCATCATTGTCTTCATCACCTCTGCTCTGCCCACGTGTTGGAACCTATCTCTATCTATTTACGAGCCAATTCTCAAGTCAGACCTCTGCAGCATTCTGAATCACCTCATTGACAGTGAGTTAGGTCATGAGCACCCCCAGGCATCGATAATTACGGTCTGACATGCCCAACACGGCAACACGCTAACCGTCAAGTCAAGTTTATAGGCACAAAGACCAATGTGCTATGACACTGTTGACATATCACACCAAACGAGATAGAGAAAACTGTGCGATACAGTATGTTGCCAAAGCAGCTTAACAGGCTCTGATGGCAAAATGAAAGAAGAGGTAAATACACGCAGTGATAAAGGTGCTAGATTTTGCTTCAAGGAAAGTTTGATCACTGTTCCTGGACACCCATTGTATCCTTCAGAGACTGTAAAGCATTTTTACATTGTGCTTCCCAAAGGCTCGGATGTGATCTGAAAAGTAAATTAAATTAGACAGTGCTTAAGGTGGAAACAGTGCACCAACTACAGTTATGATGAATGAATGGTGACAGTTGTCTCCAGCACTGTGTGTTACATGAACTTGTACTGAATTTTGTCTGACAACTGCAGTCAGATGCTAATGCATCAATAACACATTATTACTTTCCTGTCTGGCACAATCAGCAATAACCTACATTTCTCAGGTGTATTTATTTAGCAAATGAGAGTGAGAGGAAGTGGGTTTTTACAGGTAATCGTGTTGGTGCGATGAAGCCAAACTCACCTGTAAAACCCACCACATCTTCAGTCAGGTTCTGGACATAAGAAATGAACAAAAAAATAAAAAGAATGAGGTATAAACGCATGATGTGTCATCGGGATGTGGCACCCAGTTTCAGCACCATGGACAGAGCTGGACAATATTAGCAGTGCGTTACAGTTGTTTGTTTGTTCTAAAAAAATGCAACATATTATTTTGGTTTGGAGTCCGTGGACAGAGTTGAACTCTGTGTCTACACAGGAGGCGCTCAGGCACAGCACTGAGTTGCAGTTTGATACTGTTGTTTGTTCTAGGTCGTGCTACCTTCACATTTTAGCACCATGGACAGAGGTGCACATCATTAAGACTATAGCTGTGCTAACAAATCACTCACCATTCAATATTCTGTCCACACCATTATGTGTTCATGAATTTTTTTTAAATCATTATTTATTTGCCACCTGACAGACTATGTAGTCTTTTATATACTGCAGTAGAGAGTCGTGAATAGTAGATAAGTGAACAATTTTGGATGCAAGCCTATGAAAATGTTGTTTGTTATGCTTTACGCCCACACTTTCAGCACCATGGACAAAGCAGTGTGATGTTCGTACTATTCATGCTACAATTTTTTTGTTTTGTTTCTCCTTAATTGTTGTTTTCTCGCACAGTTTCAGCACCATAGCCAGTGTTCGCCCCCAATGTTCTGCATGACCTCTGCTTCAGCACCACGGGTAGAGCTGCGTGATGTTAAGCGTATGATACTATTGTTTTGTATCAACACACTTCACTCTTTTATACCAACAGGAAGTGATACAGTGTGTGCTGACAACACATGTCATTTACCACCTTGCAGAATTTATCTTGGTTTTTCCAGCTGTCTGCATCTCCATGTTAGTTTATGCAATGCATCAAGGGAAGACAGTGTCTATCAACAACCTATTAAAAGATTTTTGTTTTATTTTTTATGCATACTGATTTTTTTGGGTGATTTAAAGATGGACAATGACAAAACCTGATCTGCGTTATTAGCAGTGTGTCTCGTTAACTGGGACACAGCTATTGATACTATTACTTGTTGTAAGTTTCAGCACCATGAACAGGGCTTCTTGATTTTCTTGCTACTTTTGTTTGCTTGTCCTCACGTTCTGCTTCAGCACCATGGACAGAGATGGGCTGGGCTGGGTATGTTACTACTGCTTGCTTGTTCATACTCGCCAGATTTCAGCACCATGGACAGAGCTGGCGTGATGTTAATGGTATGATACTGCTGTTTGTTCTGCCCTGAATGTGCCACATTTCGCGCTATTACGAGGATGATGCAGTTTTTTTTTTTTCTTCCATGTGCTACCCGTTGACCAACCCCACTGTAATCACCCACCCTCCTGTCCCTTGATTCCTCCTGAGAACAGACACATGCAGTGTATAAAAGCCCAATGCTTCCCCTGAATGAAATGAAAGCACGTCTGGATCCCGGCGTGACGCTGACACCGAGTGAGCTCTGCATCTTTAAAACAGAAAAAAAAAAAAAGCCAAAGAAAAACACACAACCAGCTCAGTCATAACTGTGGGATGATAAGGACTACCTCTTTTTACTTTTGGAGAGAGCCAAGCCGTTAGGAGAGCATTCAGCATCAGCTGTTCAACACTGGTCTCTTATTGCTGGAAGTCGGGGCTGAATCAGTCACATGACAGAACTGGAGGCAGAGATCTAGAGAAAAGGCACAGCATTTCGGCTTGCACCGCCATACTGTATTTTGAGCCATATCACATTTTTATTGCAACATTTTACTCCCGCTCGGTGAGTACATTTCCAATGGCTTTTTTTTGTAAGCATTTTTTGTCTTTTTAATTGCCCCCCTTTTTTTATTTTTCCTCCTTTTGCTGGTGTTTGAATTGAGCATTGACATGGTGGTTTTGAGCGTTTTTCACATCCAGGCTTCAAGTTTTTAGCATGCAGTTATTCTGATGGAGAGTGCCAAGAGGGTGAACGGGTGCGTTATCGGTCTTGAGAAAGCCTTTATACTTGCTTGCAGTTTTGTTTCGAGGGTCGAAACCAAGCAGGTTTTGTCAGTATTGAGATTTTTCAAACATTTATTGGTGGTTTTGAAACATTTTTATTTTTTTTTGTTTCTGTCGACTTTTGCTGTTGCTATGCTTTGGTTTGCATTTTGCAGTGTTGTTTGTTGCCTTCGAGTTTTGTGATTTTGATGTCTCGGTGAATCTCACCGATCAAACCCTTGATTTTACTTTGTTCCTCTTTTCTTTATAAGAGAAAAAAAGGAGTCATTTTTAAAAGAGCCCGATGACGTTTTAACGTGATACTTTTCTTGCAGCTGAGCTCACAGGTTTGTTGTTTTTGTGTTTCTCTTTTTTCGATTTCATTATACTTTTGCTGGTGGCAGTGTCAAGTATTTTTGGATGTTATCGGTTTTTTTTTTGACTAGATGATGCTGGGTGGACGAGGGGAGTTTTGATTCTTGGGGGAGTTCAATGCGTTTTTGTTTTCTGTATCAACGAGGATGAACAGACATTTTCCCTCTTGCAGGTACATAACATAATATGAGTTTCTGTATTTACAATAAAGACTAAGGTGACAGAAATATGCACCTGTGGCTGACGTGTTATTTTGTAAGGTGCTCATTAGAGAAGGCAATCTTTATCAATGTTATCTGAAGGTTACCTGATGTGATCGATCTGTGCGTGATGCTCCATATAAAAAAAAAAGAAAAAAAAACAAGTAACGTGATCGACAATTCAAGAACAAAGGTTGGTAAATCACACGCAGGTCGTTTGATCACAATGTTTCCTTTGTGTTGAGTTCAACAATCTCCACGCCGTCGCAGCTGAGGAATAATGTAAGTAGCTACATTCAGGTCCCTGGGAATGGATGCACTCTAATGATCTCCCACAGATAAAGTATCCAAACTCCATCCATACATCCACATGGATGGGCAGGAATAACAATTTGCTCTGCTGCAGCCAGTGTTTCTTTTAAACTACAAGTTGGGGGGAAATAATTAGGGTGACCACAGTTTGCACTACAGTAGCCTACTACTGTGCATCACGGGGCAAAGCATCTTGCCAAACTTAAGTGCCCTCCTCATTGCTGAAATCGGCTTTAGTGGGCCTGGATTCATAAATACTCTTGGATTTGTCAAATCTGATTTTGCAGGAAATGAATAGAGCTAATGACAGGGCTCAAAAAAAGGGGCTTAGGCTGAATTAATCCTTCAAGAGGCAGGTTTAACTTCAGATTATTGGTGTGCTGCAGGATATGCAAACAAATAGATAACATGCAGTCTTAGAAAAGGGCATGGCTTGCAACCAGTTACTGGAACTATTTTTTTTCATGTGTTTTCTAGGCTACAATACTGCTGTTTGGAGTAGTTTTTTGAGCCACTTTAACGTTGTTGTCTGCCAACGAAACCTTCTCTAAATTTAGTCTTCAAAGTACTGGTGCTCAGCAGAAATCCACAAACCTGATTTGACTTATTCCAGACTGACTCATCTGCATCAGTTCCTGCTTTAACTTTGGCCTTTTACATTGTGACAAGCTTGTGCGTCAGATCTCGTCAGTTTGCTCCATTTGGTTCCATATGTGTTCAGCTTGACAGAACACAGGTTTTGTCAGAAGAATACTGTAGGCCTATAAAATATACGAGACCGGACCATTAAGTCTGAGTATAGACTGTTGAGCCCCCGTGTCATTAAACAGGCTGCCATGGAAGATCAGAGTCAGTACAGTTTAACGTGGTGAAATGGAATATTGATAAATATTGAATGCAGAAGTAGGTAGGCAAACTTACAGTCTTAATAGAAGGCAAACTGATTAGCGTAATTGCGGTAATACATTCCATCATGTATTGGAAAGCTGTTATCATGTATTGATCCCCCTGTCTCCTGGTTAATCTATGCAGGTCATAAAGGGGATGTCGATAAAAAATAATAAAAAAAAGAGCCACAGGGGACGTTTGAATGGGTTTTTAAGCTGTAAGACGATTTAGAAACAACGTGTGGAGTTCAATCAGGAAGGAATCTCTTCCAGTGTTTACAGTCAGTCTTTGGTTGTATCAACAGTCCCATAGAGAATGGTTAACCAGGTTCAAGCACTGGTGCGTAAGTTATCGAGAGGAGGGGTGCAACTATTCAATCCAATAACTTGATTAAGTCATGAACCAAGTTACTAGTTTTTGAAGGTCTGTATTTCCAGCCTCAGGCCACAGCAGCTCAGAGTCTCTGATGATGATTTCAGCTACTTCCTCTCTCCTGTTCAGCTCTGCAGACTGAAGTACAAACATTTGCTCAAGTCAATCAAACTCAGGCTTTTACAATAAGTTTTTAGCTGTGTAAATAGTAATCCGCTGGTAACATTTCAGCGCCGCAAACTCAAGTCAATTCAATTAAAAACAGACTTGAATCAAATCTTGCCTTTCAAGCCTCAAAGCGCTGCACCACAACACAGCGCCGTGGCTGCACGCCCCTCGTTGAGAGGAGGTGTTTCTGCCACGCCGCCACAGTGTGAGCTCCTGGACGCCTCTCCTGCTGAGCATTATGATAGCTTCTATTACGTCCTGCGGTGTTGTGTCTCCCCTCCAGGCAGATTTTTTTTTTTTTTCTGTTATCTGGGCCAAGCCAGAGCTGCACAGGACACTTATGGAGAAATATGATAGCTCACGTGTGGCTATACCTCGGCTGCCATGAATAAAACATCACGAGGTTTATCCACTAGGAGACGTGTGCGTCTGCATGCACGCTTGTCTGAATGTATGTGTTACTGTGTTTACACTATTGGTGCTTTGATTGGAATTTGTATCCACGGCACCGAAACAACACTTCAGGTTTCAGCATGACTGAGCCGGACAAACGGAAACATTACTAATACGCCGTGCGCCGCATCTTTTACACACATGTTCTGTGTAATCGTCCCGGGATGTTGTTTTTCAGCGCCACATACTCTGAACGCAGTAACTTCCATAGACACACGCAGGAAGCGCAGACGCATCCTCTGTTGCATCTTTAACAAGCTTCTCCTCAGTCTGGTTTGTTTAGTCTCAATGCAGATACGCCGCATACGTTTCCATCAGAAGGACTCACACCTCGGTCCAGTCTGAAAGACGTTAGAAGTTATATAAGAAGCAATAATGGAGTTTTACTGGGTTCATGGGCCTTTTATTCCATAAACGTAGACACTTAGCTGAAAGTTTCAGTGTAAAATGCCTTTTCATGACCTCATATCAACTGACGATCTGGTAGCTGCAAAGTCCATCTACAGTTTTCTCTCGTATTAAGCTTCTTTTTTTTTTTTTTCCAGACTTAAGAGTGAAGGTCTCATTCATACTCCACTGTGGCTTCACTTGTAAACCACAGACTCATGCAGTCCAGTCCTCATATATAACTCTAAACCAAGGGCGAAAGATTTTTAGTTGGAACACAATGAAAAGATTCTTCGACAAAAGAAAAATGCTACATCATAACTACTTAAAATCACTAATACATATGTGTGTGTGTGTGTGTGTGTGGGTGGGTGTGGGTGTGTTTGTGTGGGTGTGTGTCTCCGTGTTGCTCCTAAAGCTTAATTTCTCTAAGTGCACAGAAATAAAGTCAACTAAAATGTCAGCTCAGAGCTTCTTTCATCTGCCTGTTTCCAGTCTGACGCTCTTGCGCATCCTATCGAATTGACCTGTAGCACCAAACTAAAAGTGGCATTTACATCATGTTTCACTTCCTCAATGAGATATTCTCTTCTCTCTCTCTCTACCCCCCCCCCCCCCCCCCCCCCCCCCCCCCCCCCCAGGCCTTTAACAGATAAACAGCTTACCTTTGGCACGACTCATTCCACGGAAACAAGTGTTTAAGTACTTTAGTGTCCCTTTCTGAGCTGTTAATTTGATAAGTGAGGGGATCTCTCACTTCATATTCTGGGCAATTAAACCCATATCTGAAGAACAGGGTCAGGCTGAGTGACTTTCCAGTGTCTATTATGGGAACCATTTGAGTTATAGTGCATCACTTAAATGAGCCTTCAGCGCTGACGTGCTGAGACCTCGGTGTATTTTTAGATTTTCGTATTAAAGTTGTGCTTTAGTTGTATTTCATTAACTTTTGGTCTGACTCCTTTGTAACTTGACAACATGCTAATGAAGGCATTGTAGAGTAAATTAATATTCTTTTATCTGACCTTTGAGTAAATACAGAAGACAGAGGCGTAGAGTTAAGTGTGTATTCATGTGTTTGTGTAAAGGAGAAACTCACAGCAGTATCAGTGCAGTCTAAAAATGACCAATTAAGCAGTAATCACTTCCATTTTATTTTTCCTTATTGGGAGCAAAGAAACTCAGAGGAATTACTTTTTTCTATTTTTAGAGGGAAATAAGGTTCATGCTGCGTGATAAGGAGTAACCCAAGCCCAGGGAGAAAAGATGGATCTCAGATGTTCCACATGTCACTCCGCTGTGATCTTCTCTGAGCTGTTTACTAAAAGGAAGAAAGTAGTGGAGTTTATGTTGCTTCACCACTTTGTCAGCTCGGCGTGCAGATATCGATCCAGCCAACCTGATAGCTTCCAGGCTACATCTGTTTCAGGTCGACTTAACATATTCAGTCCAATTTTCTAATCGCACTGTTCATCAAATTACATCCAGCCGCTGCGTCGTGCAGGATCAAAACATTCAAAATTAGTTTTTTTCTCTTTTTTTTTTTTTAAGATTACATATAGATCCAGCTTTGCTGCTGCTGATACACAAACGTGTTGTTTTTCTAGACAGGGATAAATCAAAATTCACACAATGGAGTTCTCTG